TAGGATCATTTCTACAGTTCCTGAATAAAACCACACTGCATGGTTCAAATTGGTGTGATTGACATGGTTTATTATCAGTGGTTATGATATACTACACATATATTTACAGGAGAATAAAACCACACCACATGGTTCAAAATTGACACAATTCACATGGTTCATTATTAGTTATTAACTTTATGATATACTACACATATATTTATGGGAATATTTCTACTGTTCCAGGTTATAACGACATGATTCACAATGAAGTAAATCTTCTTGTGTCAGACAGGTACAATTCAGAAAGGATTAGAGAAATGTCCTTGTTGACAATAGGGGTGGGCGATAATACCGGTTAACCGGTATATTGTAATTCGAACATCACAATACGATATATTGCGGTACACTTTTCGTGAACCGGTTCTCCCGATACGATCGGTAATTTTCGTCATGTAGTCAAACTACTAATACCATTTATATTTCCTTGATATTATTATACATTTATAGTTTTGAGAATATTTATTGGTCATATAACTGCATTTGCGTGACTTTTAAACCATTTAAATAAAAAAAGTAAATTGGTACCGGCATCATTGTAAGGATAAACAAGCCAAAATGGTGGACGCCGCTGCAGAGTGACTGACGCTTTTTCTCGAGTTCCAAACTTTAGAGCGAAGTCTTCAATTTGGAAACATTTTCAATTGATCTCTTGTACAATTACATCTGAGTCCTGACAGTGGCCAGTGGCATTGTTTCAAAAGAAAGTAAACAGTAATTTCACTACCTTAACCCATGTGTTACACTTTCACAATATATAGCAATACTATTGCAATACGCCAACACATATTGCAATATATCGCAATACGTAAATTTTGGCAATATCCAACCCTAGTTGACAAGCAAATTTACTATGTGGTACATTAAATGGCTCCTCTGCTGCAGATGTGGAACATTGAAAATAAGAGTTATTTCTACTCCTGAAGAACAGTAAACACTGATAACTATATGTATGTAAAGAGTATTAAATATCTTCGGGAAACGATGACAGGAGTCAATCAAGTCAGTGAGTCTGACAACCTGATCCCGTTAGCCGTCTCTTGTGACAAGCATGGGTTGCTGAAGACCAATTCTAACATGGATATGCATGAGTATCAAATGAACTTTGTGATTTATATCAATCCTTACATTCAATATGACATAGCTTGTGATTTTTTATGTAACACAAGGTTGCCATGCAACGTAATGACATGTTCAAGATTACAGCATTGATACAGCTACATGTATAAATGTAGTTATCCGGTTGTGCAGGTTATCTGTTTGGTTTATACTACTACAAAGATACTATATGCCAAGGTAACAGCAATACCAAGATGAAACACACTACTGACTTCAAGGTGACCTTGGTTAATTCCCCTAACGACGAGTGCCAGGCATGGCAACAAGAAGTGCTATCATTCAATATGACACATCCAGGGAGGTGACCAATCTTAGCTTTATATGAGGCACATCAACAAATGAGAAATCCAGGGAGGTAACCAGTCTTAGCTTTATTCCCTCAACAACGAGTGCCAGGCAGGGCAACAAGAAGTACCATCTTTCAATATGATGTATACTGGGAGGTAACCAATACTAGTTATATTCCTTTAACAATGAGTGCCATCTTTGTTACTTATTTTGATGTGATGCAACCAGGGTATTGAACCACCAGCCTTCCACCTCCCAGGTACATTTTCCAGACAAATGGTATGTCCAAGTATCACTGATTCCCTCAGAGAGTTCAAAATGAAGGTTGAAATACAACATTGTCACTTGATCCTAATTATACAAAAAACAAACAGATAAAGGGAAACCCAAATTCAATGTGACAATCAAGGTAACAAGGTAACAAGGTAACAAGCCCCCAGGGCCCAGGATTATCATACTTCGGAACACTCCCTAATCATGTGAATCACACTACTATAACAGTAACATAAAGGCATGATTCATGTTTAATAATACTTAGGCTGAACGCTAATCGACCTTAATTTATTGTGGATAGTTACCTCAAGTGTATAAAACAATTGACCAAAAATAAAGGTACTGAGATCAACATACTGATAAATACATGTCAGATCCAACACAATAGCCCACACAGGTATGTATAGTGTTACATACATAGAGGGATCAACCTTACTCAGTAATTAGTCCTACCTGTCAGCCTCCCATAACCAGTGTGTGATAATCACATTATGCTGACACAGCCATTTATGACAAGGCTAATCCATCAAGGGATTAACTGCAATAATTCACCCTTGTTCCTTAAGCTTATAAGCAAAGCATGCGGACTGGAGCTATATGCTGGATCTTACATCATGACCACAGTTACTAGTGTCAGTTTTATTTCAGTAACCATGTATGTGGGTTGTTTTTAAATTACTTGAGTACATTTATTACTGATTTTCTAGTCTTACACGTGTCAAATTTCACAACTGCTAAATAAGAGATTGAACCAAAAAATGTTTATTCTTCTGGCGCGGGAGACATTTCAGCAATCTACATACCTCAAATACAATTTTTCCCCCCCTCCACGTTTTCCCAGGATCCGGATTAGAATTGGTCTGTGTTTGTCATAAGATCTGACCAATCAAATCAGCCAGTTATTCTCTCTGTGCTGGTCCATGCACGTCATTGTATACCAACTGCATCGATTGATGCTCATGATGTCAATCACTGGACCGTCTGGTCTGGATGCGATAATTTAAATTTGACCATCACACAGCTAAACAAATTGCTTTGGGCTGAATTACACAATACACCTTCCTAGTTACAAGGAAACCATCATAGTTTCTTTCGATACATTTGTTAATTGCTGACTCCGCAATTTCAGTACCATCACAATGCAGCACCACCAGAAACAACCTTTAAAAAAGCTGAAGAGGAAGTATAGCATTATTTCTATTTAATCTAATGACTCATCATTGTTGAAACTGATAAAAGATGTAAAACATAAGACAGTTTCAGAAGATTTAGAATCTAGAAAAAAAAACTTTGTTAAGAAACATGAATATTAGCAGGTTACGAAGAACCTAATTGCTAGCAATATCCTTACTAGTGATCACCCATGATAAGTTTGATATTTATGGTATTCCAAGAAGAGTAAGATGCTGTTGTACAAAGTGACCTTAACGCTAAGGTGACGTAACTTGACACTGACTTATGACACTGACAGTCATGGCGATAAGGTTATTTTATACACTGCATCGTGTTCATTTATCCCTGGATAGAGGTAAATGATGTCATATTTCTAAGAAACAAAGGGGCGGTGGGGTAGCCTAGTGGTTAAGGCGTTCCTCGTCACGCCAAGGACCCGGGTTCGATTCCCCACATGGGCACAATGTGTGAAGCCCATTTCTGGTGTCCCCCGTCATGATGTTGCTGCAATATTGCTAAAAGCTGGCGTAAAATCTAAACTCACTCACTCACTCACTCTAAGAAACAAAGGTTCCCTGGCAACATGATGCAGGTATTCCATTCAACCTGCTGTGAATGGGTACCCAGTAGGATTAGATAGTAATAGGACTGACAACCTAGCTCCTCTCAGGCAGCTTAGTTTGTAGAGTTCCATGAGAGCTGTGAATGAAACTTGAACATAGATTGATCCGATGACCATGATAATAACAATAATAGTATAGTTCATACTTTCCTACAGCAAGTTGATCATTCTTGATTGCCATGGAAAACTAGAATACAAACCAGGGTTATGGGTGTTAATACTGTTATGTCCACATACATACCAACCCATGGATCATGAGTATGACCATATATTAACCAACACTTGGATGATTACACAATGCCATTTAGAAAGTGGTCAAATGTAACATATTATATTTGGGATTACACTTTCTTATCTTAGTAAAGCACAGATTCTAGTACTTTTGTTGGGTTGAGCCCATGCGGGATTCGAACCCTTACCCTCGAGTTCCTCAGGGTATGACCACATTTTAACCAAAACTTGGATCATGGGTGTTATCATATATCAACCAACCCCTGGATCATGGGTATGACCATATATCAACCAACCCTGGATCATGGGTATGACCATATATCAACCAACCCATGGATCATGGGTATGACCATATATTAACCAACCCTTGGATCATGGGTATTAAGACCACATATCAACCAACCCATGGATCATGGGTATGACCACATATCAACCAACCCATGGATCATGGGTGTTACTGTATCATGGGTGTTACTGTTAAGACCAAATATCAACCAACCCTTTTTACAGTGTGACAGAGTGATATCATTATGTATATTTGTATTTGTTGTACACATCTCATATTAATTGGGAATGGTTTCTTGTGCAGTTTTCATTAGCAGCTCATGAGGAACTGTGGTTTGTTTCATCTTAAAGTTTTTATTCACAAAAAGTGAATGGTATTAGGCACAAGTTCTCCCAACTTAGGAGCCCTCTAAATATTTACACAAATGAATTACAATAGCTCTGGTTCAATATGAAAGAGAAGACCATAATATCTAAGGACCTTACAGGGATTATCCTGGATTCCCAGCTGAGCACCCTTGGCAGACAAATTGAGGAAAAAGAGTGATAATGATAAAATAACATTTCATTGTTTGCAATTCTGTATATTACAAGGGACGTATATTGTAATTGGAATATTGTTCTGTCATGTACTGTGGACTGGCGACCATTTATCAGCCTCTGAGCAACTCAAACTAAATCCCTGCCTTAGGGACCCTTTACCACAATATACTGTCACTTAATTACACATCACTATTAATATTATCCATATTGTCTTTGTATGTCTATGGACCTCTGGCTTTAACTTATAAATCAATTCAATTATTTCAATATTGCTGTGTAATAAGGATTTCCTTATCTGCTTCAAGTTCACAGCTTATATCCTGGTATCTTAGGATATAAGCCTCCATATCTCTGACTGTCAGCCTTCTCTGAAAACAAACAAGTGTAAATATGTAAGGAGGGCAAGTATATGGAGTGTTATACATACCTCAAAGTATACTACAGCAGCCTTGCTTTTCCTTTACTGGGCTTGTATTCATCTCTCGAACAATTTCAATAAAAACTTCATTGACATTTTGCGTACTTTTAGCTGACGTTTCTAGAAACGGACAGCCCCAGTACTGTGCCAGCGTCGACCCCTCAGTAGAAGGGACCTCACGTTGATGTTCCAAGTCAGCTTTGTTCCCGACTAATATCATGGGTATTTTGTCCACCCCTTTCACTCTCTGAATCTGCTCTCTCATTGTCTTAATATCCTGGAAAGTCTGAAGACTGGTAATGCTGTAGACAATCACAAATCCTTGTCCATTCTTTATATACAAATCACGCATGGACGCAAACTGCTCCGTGCCGGCTGTGTCTAATATTTCTAAAACAGATGGCGCTGAATCGACTTCTATCTCTTTCCGATAGAAATCCTCAATCGTGGGGTCATACTTCTCCATAAAATTACCCGACACAAACTTGACTGTGAGAGCACTTTTCCCCACACCTCCACTCCCTAACACCACTACTTTGTATTCCTTCATGGTGTAGCCTTCCCTCAAAGTGAGGACTTGTGAATGATATTAACACTTCTCACAATCACACTAACTGGAGTAAGATATGATATTTCTTTAATTATCTCTCACACTGATTGTGTAGAGAATCTAAAGCCCACGCCAGACACTCCTCGGACGAAATGACAGTTTCTCATCAGTTTGCCTTGTCTCTGTGTCACGAAACTCAGCTTCCGGAAAATGTTTTTGGGTCAAATTCGCTTCATGTACCACAATGACCGGCGGATTTTCTTTGTTTTTACGTATCAAACACTTATGAACTTTGATACCATGTCTCACAGTCCAACTCAAACAGGGAAAGCTTACACGAGTAGATTTCGCTGGTTGGTCAAATCTAGGTGTGACCCAGTCAGTAACCACTGTCTGCTCGGCTGTCTACAAATATTGTCGTTATTTCGAGGCTGAAAAGGACATAAAAATCTCCAATCCACCGCTACATCAATATCCAGATAGCGGAGACAATGTGATTCACCTGCAATGGACATAAATGATTATCAAGTTCTGGTCGCTCAATCGCGAGAAGTTGCACCAGTCAAAACATTCAGTGCACTGACAAATCCCTTACCGTCGCCATTTTGGGTGGGCCATTCATAGAACACTTTGCGGACTCTATGATAGGAGAGTTAGCTTTACATGACTACCGGTTCTTATGGCGCCCGTCCCTCTAAACCACTAATGGTGTACCCTAATCTCAGGTTACATATCAGACCATACGCCATATTGGAGATAACAAAACAAGTAAACGATACATGTAATTAATTCTTCTGTATTTTTTGTAAACATATCGCCGATCGAATGACAAGTATGTCGAAACGATGCTACTGTAAGTCTTTCCTACAACATTGCCTATTTCTTTACATATTTCTTGCCCTACCGACATGTCATTGAAAAATAATCTTCACGGCTATGTCTCAGAAAATACTGTTTATGCATTTTGTTTTCACCCCAAAATAGCACACGTCACATATTTTTTCATCGTGTGTTTTCTAAAAGATTATGAATTTGCGTTATCATTATGGATTTGAGTTATTGTGAACTGGATACCTTATCGCTTTTAATCGAACCAGTAGATCAACAGTTAATATAAAACATACGTATAGGACATAATTTCACCGTTATTAGAAATGTAATTATTATAATTTCAAAGCAGCATCTAGTCACAACAAAATGATAACTTGTCATATAACGTCAGCACTATGTGGAGCACTTTGAACGTCAGCTTATTCAGCTGTAACGTCAGCTGGGCACCTGCCAGTGACGTCATAGGCATGTAGGTGTCTTTGACGTCACAATTTCATGACGTAAGAAATCAAAGCCCGGTGCGATATATTTCGTTCATGTCAGTATTTTCTGTGTCATCCATACACGTGCACACACGGCAAACTAAGTTAGTTATCTAGTAGGGGCGGTGGGGTAGCCTAGTAGTTGAGCGTTCGCTCGTCACGCCGAAGGTCAGGGTTCGATTCCCAACACGAATACAGTATGAGAAGCCCGTTTCCTCCGCCGTGATATTGATGGAGTACTGATAACAGTACCAAGGTTCATTCTCGCACCTAAGCTTATCAAAAGACAACTGAGTCAAAACATATTTTAACAATACTTCTCTGCCGGAAAAGCAAGATAATCGTTTACTAGATTTGAGTAGATAGAGTTTTTTGTGTGTGTACGTACAGGAAATCTGGTAACAGGGAAAGAAAAAAAGGTTTCAACACAGTTAGATCGTGATGTTCTCGGTCAATATCAAACAGGTTTTTGTCATTTGCAACACTAGAGACAACAGATAAATCAAACATGACAAATGTTACAGCACGTTCCTGGGACAATGAGTTTAGTTTTACGCCGCACTTAGCAATATTCCAGTTACATGAGTACGGTCTGTAAATAATCGAGTCTGGATCAGACAATCCAGTGATCAACAACATGAGCATCAATCTACACAATTGGAATACGATGACATGTGTCAACCAAGTCAGCGAGCCTGGCCACCCGATCCCGTTAGTCGCCTCTTACGACAAGCATGGGTTACTGAAGATCAATTCTAACCATGATCTTCCCGGGTCTCCTGATACAAGAACTATACATCTAGCTGCTGATCATTTTCATATTTTCATACTGGTCAGCTAAAAAACAAAATATTATACATCAGATAATTAATTATCTAAGGTAGACGGGTAACCTTGAGCGAAAGAAGAAAAATTAGCCTCGTGCTATCGGGCAAGCGCACATCTCACACACTGAAGCGGAGCGACTGCCTGGAAGGTATGGCGTTCGTACATGGCGACCTAGAGTGATGTCCCTGAAATACACACGGTTTTATACAAAATAATCGTCGGGGAACCACGAGTATTAAAGAAACTCTCTCTGAAGTTCGCCGTGAATAGCTGCAAAATTGGTGATGGGCTGCTGCTTTCACTAGGGCTGTCACGAAGCATAAGTTTCATGAATCGATACTATCACGATACCCATGTCACGACTCGATACGTATCACAATACCTATTTTCGCGGCATTATTGCGTAAATTTAGTTACATTTTGAACATTAATATTTCATATTTTATAATTGTCTATGAAAACATCAACATTTTTGATTTTCAGAGATAAAAAGTTCTACTTTCCCATCTTTGTTCATGAAAAATAATCAATTATAACTCTCATAACATCAAAAGACATGATACCATTGCAAAATGTAAACGATACAAAAACATATTTAAACCGATACTTTCAAAACTAAATATCGATACAGTTTTGAATGTATCGATAATTGTATCGTCTTAGAAAAGTATCGATGCATCGATGTATCATGTATCGTGGCATCCCTAGTATTCACTCCTTGCTCTCCAGTCTCTGAATTGCTTTGGCTAAATCAGGGATGTGTATAGGATCTTACAGACAGTGCTACGTTGAATTATTGTGATTTAGTGTCTATTAAACATATGTTCTGTATGATTTTACGCCTGTTTCAGCAATGTTCCAGCAATACCACGATAGAGGACACCAGAAATGAGCTTTGTACCCACGTGGTGGACCGAACCCGGGCCTTCGACCAGTCTGTTTTAATACGCGCTAAAACCTTTGACCTAAATGTTATACCCGTACACACCCCGAACCACTTTTAGCAATATTTCAGCGGCGGGGCGCACCAGAAATAAGCTTCACACATTGTACCCACGAGGGGAATCGAACCCCGGTCTTCGGCGTGACGAGCGAACGCTTTAACCATTAGGCTACCCCACCGCCCCTGAGCCACGAAAGAATTGTAACAGTTGAGACCCAGCATTGTGCAGATCATGTATCAGGATACGTATTGTGTATCGTAACGTACACGGGTATCATGGCAACCCTAACTGATCATAGTCAGCTTGATTATACAGAAAATGCATAATTACCTCAAATTAATATATAGGGGACCTGTTCGCCTTGCAGTCAGTCATGACGTTGACACTGCCTCAAAAGATTTTTAGATATTTAAAACTATTTTGTCGACAACGTATAACTGATATCTAAAAATAGAATTTGTAATTAATTATTCAAGGCTTTGTACTTAGGCCCTGCTTCTACAGCAAGACTGACCGACTGAGTTTGGTTTTACGCCGCTTTTAGCAATATTCCAGCAACATCACGGCGGGGGACACCAGAAATGGGCTTCACACATTGTACCCATGTGGGGATTCGAACCCGGGTCTTCGGCGTGACGAGCCAAAGCTTTAACCACTAGGCTACCCCACCGCCCCTCTACAGCAAGAGGTACAAGTCAGCAAAATTATTGTCCGTCCAACCCGTCATGTGCACGCATTTAACTTGAGGGTATATCTTTTAGAATTGTTTGAACATTAGTATAACGTACAGGTCATTTAGCAATTTAATAAGCTGAGCAATACGATTTTGTGATGTAAAAAATACTTTTGATATTTGATATCTCGAAATACATTTATTGATAAAAAAATATCGCACTGTGATATAAATTAATATACTTTTATAATATATCTATTTCTTTTAAGTTATCATTCTTTATTGATATCAATGATTATATTTTATCATATCAACAATTATATAATATGATATAATAAAATCGAATTTATTGTATCAGTGAATGAGTTATTGATGTCATTAAATACGAATATATATTAAAAGGGCATCTGTGTATCGTAACTCTGTTGTTTAACATAGACTGACGTTGATTTCCAGTGGGTTATGTTTCAATTTTGTGAAAATAGATAAACAGGGATGAAGATAAAACACACTAGATTATCAACGGCTTTGGGGGCGTTACGAACACTGTAGGGATAAGCTGACGGTGATTGGGAAATTGTACGTGCGCTTCCCAACATAATGCTTATTTTACTTTACTTTACTTTGGTTGTCGCTTAACTCATCAATATTCCAACTACAGTCCGAGATGCACGTGCCTTAACGGGTTCTCAACAATTTTTTTGAGCTGGCGAGATGACACGTACCCCAGCTGCACAGGCAGTGCGCTGGATGTACTTAGTAATTGCATGCTTGGGTCACCCCTGTCATTTTCGTCCTTGAAGAAATCATAGACTTTGTAAATTATAGACTTTGTAAATTATAGACGTTCATTTTCTCTCACTTTGTCAATCAACAGTTATCACATGTCTCTGACGTCACTAATGCACGTGCATCTCGCTTTTCGTGCTGTTCCTTTAGTTGCCAATGCGCCCTTGTAACAAACTGGGAAAACGCACAAATAAATGATGACAGTTTCTTAAACATTTTTTATTTTTGGGACACACATTATGCAATCTTGGTCTGTTGTTTTTATTGCAGTCCGCGTTGGTTTGATTCTTTTATGTCTATCTGTTTTTGTTAGATTGCAAATCATCGGTATGATTTTGTCTCAAACGGACTGTATATGGCGGCGGTCTGTAAATAATCGAGTCTGGACCAGACGATCCGGTGATCAATACAATGAGCATCGTTCTACGCAACTGGAATATGACAGCATGTGCCAACAAATCAGAGAGCCTGACCGCTCGATCTCAATAGCCGCATCTTATGACAAGCATGGGATTCTGAAGATCATTTCTAACGCGGATCTTCACGGATATCAAATGACCTCTGTGATTTATATCAGTCCATACATTTAGCATGGCATAGCTTATGTTTATATATTCTTAAGGGGGCGGTGGGGTAGCCTAGTGGTTAAGGCGTTCGTTCGTCATGCCGATTACCCGGGTTCGATTCCCCACATGGGTACAATGTGTGAAGCCCATTTCTGGTGTTCCCCGCGGTGATATTGCTGGAATATTGCTAAAAGCGGCGAAAACCAAACTCACTCACTCACTATATTCTTATGTAAAGTGGGGTAACATGCAATATACTGACATGTTCAAGACTATTGCACTGATATAGTTACATGTAATGAATTCAGGGCTCTGAGGAGTGAGTGATGGAAACCTGTCTACAAGGTGGTTAACTGAGAATTATCAGTGTTACGAAACACATGTAACTACGTGGCATATCTCAGAAAGCAGAACACAAACTTTCCAACAAGGTTCTACTGTCCTTGTAGGGGCGGTGGGGTAGCCTTGTGGTAAAAGCGTTCGGTCGTCACGCCGAA